TCACCACCTCTTTGGCTGATCAGTATTGGGGGTTATTATCTGTGTTTCCTCTACCATTGCCTGTTATGCATGATGCTGCAATTTTCCCACGCTTTTTTGCCACCAATTCCTCTATGGAAGTGGCCTATTTGCCATTAAATAATATGACCAGTCCCATAGAAGGTAATCGAAATATCAGTTTGTCAGGATCTTTATGCTTTTCTTATATTCAGAATATTTCGGATAAGACGCCTTGTGTTAGACTTTTCAATCAGTCTGCTGTTTGGTTAGAAGTTTCTACACATACCAATTTTGAGGTGAATGCCTCTTGGATCTCTGGTAGATGACCCGCTATGACGGATACCTCTACGGGGCCTCCCCAACCCAAGTGGGCACCATTTTGTAAAGGGACCCATAAAGAAGTATTCTTCCCTTGGACTGAATGTCAAAGTAGGGAGGTTGGATGGGTGGTTCCACAGTTCTTCACTTTCTCCCCTTACATAGGTTCGGATTTCAATCAGTCTGAACCTGGGGATAATTTCACTAACCAACAGCCTGGTATTGAAGGCTGGGTTATTCCCTTTGATTTGTGGATGTTATGTGGGATTAATGGTAGTTGTACTGATCTGCGTCCCTTCGCCATGATTGGCGGCGGGATTCAAGGGATTGGTAACTTCTCTGGTCCTATAAACCATGAACTGCAATTCTTTAACCATTATGTGGCCAATATTATGAAGAATCTAGAAGTGGTTGGAATTCTTAGTTCTAAAAGCCCTATCTTTGATCTTTTCATGGATTTAAAAGAAATCATCTTGCAGCGCAACCATCCATTTTTCATACAACACATGCGTGCCCATACTCTATTGCCTGGGCCTATGGCCAAGGGTAACGCCATGGCTGATGCAGCCACTAAACAGATATTTTGCTCCATGTTGGAGCACGCGCAAGAATTTCATGCTTTATATCATACACCAGCACAGACATTACGGCTCCGGTTCAACATTTCCCGCGCGCAGGCGCGAGAAATAGTACTCCGTTGCCAGGCCTGTGCCAATTTCAGACCCGCGCCTAGCGTCGGGGTGAATCCTCGAGGGCTGCAGCCCCTACATGTTTGGCAAATGGATGTCACCCACGTTCCAGAGTTCGGTAAGTCTAAATATCTACATGTTTCTGTTGATACTTGTTCAGGCATTCTCCATGCCACACCACTGACCGGAGAAAGAGTCCTGCATGTTATTACACATTGCCTTGAGGCCTGGGCGGCGCGGAGTCCTGCATGTTATTACACATTGCCTTGAGGCCTGGGCGGCGTGGGGTAAGCCACGCATCTTAAAAACTGATAATGGTCCGGCCTATACTTCCACAGCCTTCCAGCAGTTCTGTCGACGGCTTGGAGTGGAACATCGCACGGGACTGCCTTATAATCCTCAGGCGCAAGGCATTGTGGAACGTGCCCATGGCACCATTAAGCATTACCTCTATAAACAGAAAGGGGGAATAGGTCCCCATATGGGACCCAAAAGCTCCATATCTTTAACCTTGTTTACTCTAAATTTTTTAAATCTGGATGTTTATGGAAAATCAGCAGCGGACCGGCATATGGGGTCAGCTGTTCAGGAGAAAGATCTAGTTAAATGGAAAGATGTTCTATCTGATCAATGGAAAGGCCCGGATCCAGTGTTAATCAGATCCAGGGGAGCGCTTTGTGTTTTTCCACAGAATCAACCGAATCCGGTGTGGGTACCGACAAGGCTGATGAGAAGAGTTCTGCCGCTACCGGGGCTAGAGGATCACAAGGAGCAGGAAGAACAAGATGAAGCGGCTGATCCTAATAATATGTCTGGTGTATCTCACCACCTCTTTGGCTGATCAGTATTGGGGGTTATTATCTGTGTTTCCTCTACCATTGCCTGTTATGCATGATGCTGCAATTTTCCCACGCTTTTTTGCCACCAATTCCTCTATGGAAGTGGCCTATTTGCCATTAAATAATATGACCAGTCCCATAGAAGGTAATCGAAATATCAGTTTGTCAGGATCTTTATGCTTTTCTTATATTCAGAATATTTCGGATAAGACGCCTTGTGTTAGACTTTTCAATCAGTCTGCTGTTTGGTTAGAAGTTTCTACACATACCAATTTTGAGGTGAATGCCTCTTGGATCTCTGGTAGATGACCCGCTATGACGGATACCTCTACGGGGCCTCCCCAACCCAAGTGGGCACCATTTTGTAAAGGGACCCATAAAGAAGTATTCTTCCCTTGGACTGAATGTCAAAGTAGGGAGGTTGGATGGGTGGTTCCA